TCCAATAAGAAAAAGTGCAATGTGTTCGGTTATGCCAATCATAAATCCAGTCAGTGTCGTTACAAAAATTTCAAGTGTTAAAAGTGTAATAGATAATATCATTTACGAAAAATTTGCGCTTATGATCACAGAATAAAATACGTTGAGGAAGGAACGGAACTGTGGTCGAAGGAGACGACGTCGATGAGTGTCCTTACAATATTCGAAGTTTGAAAGGGAAACCCATGACAGAACGCGTTATGATAAATGGCCTTTAAAATGGCCAGTAAGTGTAATTTCAGAAAAAAGCTTATATTTCTAAATTTAATCATTTGCCATTCAACAGTGGTAGAGCCACGCGGCAGCTTTTGCTGTCGCACAGATGGGCTGGCTCGAACCGGGGTGGTACCACGACCTCACAGAAAACCAGCGTGAAGTAGAGGGTTACCTCTGCGTTTCGCTTGGTGAGTGCAGGTGGCCGGAGACCCTTTTTACTGAAAATGAGGCATTCCATCTTAGTCCTCACGGGTGACAACGCATCTACATTTTGATTTGTAATAGAGGATAGATGTAGATATCTATGGGCCGCAGCAACTACTTACCATCAGGTGGACTGTGTGTTCGTTTGTCACTCTTATCCTATAAAAGAAATTGACAGCCACCAACAATAACCTATTAAGTTATTATACGCCCATTAGTATAAAGTGACACAACGATCAGAATTAAGAATTAATGATAAAATGTGGCTAACAGAAAATGTAGACAATAAAAATTCTGTTGGATCGAAGGCATAGTGAAAAGAAAATTGGAAACGTAATGTATAGAATATACGTACCTAAATATAACTGTGAAGTTACGAGACATATCGATCAGTTAAGAGCACAGCTATTCTCACCGGCTAGAGATGACCAGCGATGGGACACGAATGCGGTGCTAACCGCTACTGCTTCTAGCGATGGAGTCCAGCCTGGAACCACAGCTGATGTCGGAGGGGAAGGCCGGGACATAACGGAACCATACGTGGCAAGGATATATATTAGCAAGTGCCCGAAGAGTCCGCTCCGTGCTAGCGCCGCTACCCGTAGAAGATAAACTATAAGTCCGATATTCTCTACGTTGACATCAGGAGGATACCTAGATGGAGGCCTCTGTTTCTCTACGTAATCTATGTTGTCACAGCTTTGTCAATGATAGGTTTTACGTCCGGTTTTAAACGTAAATCTACAGTATACTTATTAAATGACCCAAGCTTACTAGAAACATTAGGGAATCTTGAGCATAGTTTCTTAACTATTCTTTGGTGGCAATCGCATTGCGCTTGCGCGTATACCGCATGCACAAGCTGAGAGCAACCACTGGCAACTGGCTGACGTAACCAACTGTCTAAGGAACCTGCGTCACTTTAAAGCTTTTTTACGTTAGCATTTTACGTCATATAGGATTCAGTTAGACTTGGCAGCATTTGCGAAGCTTCATTATGTGTTCTCATCTCATATACTACAAAGTCAGAAGAAAAAGGCATATATTAAGATTAAATATTATTTAAGTATTAAACACGTCAAATGATAGACTGTGACAGTGAAATAAAGGTTTCGCTTATGAATTTTTCGGCCGTATTTTAAGAGACTCTTGACTTTTATGGAAGGGACTGATGGAAGCATTAGTCGAACAGACAACAGTTTGGTTAACTCAGTCGTAAAATTAAATGAGCCATGAAAGCCTACTTTCCAGTTTTATGTATGCACAAGATTTTATAGGTTTGTGGAAACAAGGTTTCAGTGTATGGCTTTGATGGAATTTGATAATACATCAACCGTATCGTAATTATCTGGATTATTACAAAAAATACATAGATTCAACGTATCAAGACACATCCTGCGTACTTTCCACCGTTTGGTAGACGCCTCTTCTCATTTTGGTGGTTTTATAGCAGTGATTATTCCACGTTACGATATTGTTTGTTTGCGGATTTCAGCTCCACTTAAATTATATTTGATTTCTAAGACATTTTCAACAGAGACAGATTTAAAAATGTTTTACTCACCAACGAGAACTTGATAAATCAACGCTTGAAATTTAGATCACCTTATAATATTTTTAGTGTCGGTGAGGACTTATTTGTGCTGTTACAAATGGTGTCGTGGAAGAGCCATGTTGCAGCTATATTAATAGTATAGTTGTAGTACGAATGGGTTAGCTTGACCGGGAAAGGACGACGCTCTCACAGAATACCAGCGTAAAATAGCAGCTTAATGCTGCTATGTTTCGTATGGTGAGTGTAGAGAACCGGAGACCCTTTTTACCGGAAAAGAGGCATTCTATCTTAGTCCTCTCGGCTGACAACGTATCTGCATTCAAATTCACCAACGAAGATATATGTAGATGTCTATAGGCCACAGCAACCACTTACCATCAGGTGGACTGTGTGCTCGTTTTATCTATATATTACGTACCTATATGTTTATCTGCTTCTGCTTCTGCTGCTTCTTAATATATATTAAAGTTTGTTCGGACATTTGTATATTCACCTGATCAATTTACGAATATATTGAATTTCTACAACTTCTTTTTTTTTAATTTACACGCGAAGGCCTGCTTCAGAAAATAATTACAATGAAGCAGGCTTTATTTCGAACGTGTCTCGTCGATTTAAAAAAGCCATTGTTTCTTTTTACCACACCCACATCCCCTTGTTGATTCAAGTATACAAAAGGGTCTCTCTATCGTCTATACAATTCCTTAATAGCTTTGATAACGTATCAATTGAAAGTAAACAGACCGTCAATTTAGTTACAGCATTAAGTTACTTTTTAACTATGAGAATAATATGTAATCAATACGATACCGATGAAAAAATAGTACAATAGTAATCATCATCATTATCATAATTGCCACCATTACAGACCATAAAAAGTCCACAGATGGGCATATAAGTCTCTCAGGCAGTAGTAATCAAGGAATGCCACAAAGAACGGTCCCAAACCACCCGCCTCCATCAACTTCCTTCATCTTTAACAGGTCGTCACTATCACATGTAGTAGGGGGTCACCCAACTCTTCGCTTACCGTTACATGGTTGTCTTGTACCGGTAATTCGAAAACCATTCTTTCTCACCGGTCGTCGGCTCTTCAAGCTGTAGGGTCAGCGGCTTCAGATTACTGATCCGTTGGGCTATGTCGGTTACTCTGGTTTTATTCTCTCTTAGTATCCTCAGAAGAGAGCTATAAGAGCAATCTATGTTTTAAAACCTAAAAAGTCGCACCGACGAAAATTTAAGGAAACTAGTTTATTAACTTTGGCCCCTCAATAAATTTATGAAAATGTAATGTACGTACATAAAAATAAAAATAGTTTTACAAAAATAAGTGATACTCATTCTGTGAATATTACTAACATACAGAAGCTAATAGTACCAGTTACGCAACTCCACCAAATCAGTTATTCATTCTTGGGTAGATGTACGCTTATACAACAAAATCCCAGAAAATACAAAATTTGATCTGTTCAAAGTTCAAAATTTTTAAACTATGTTTAAAATGGTAAATATTTACCCCATCTTTAAAAAAGTCAGCGATACCTAATACCTATGCTCGGTGGTGAAGGAAAACATCATGAGGAAACCTACATGTCTGAGAAATAAAAAAATATTTCGAAGACTTATAAAGACCGCCAACATGCATTGGGGTAGCGCGGCGGACACTTCCTTGGCCTAAAACCCTCTCCAGAAATTGAAGGATGTCTGTACCCAGTAGTGGGACGTATACAGGCTGCAAATTTAACTTTAAGTGAAGTGTCATGTCAAGTCAGACGCATGATACTCTCGGATGGGTAAAAACTTTAATTGCAAACATTTAGACAACATGGATGTTTAGATAAATCCCATAAAATAAGGCCTTATACATTATTTTAAATAAGTATTTCGTTAGGTGAGTATAGCGAACGGATACCCTTTTCACTCGTTACGTCCTAGATAGACGTCGTTCTGATGAACCTCCTTATTGCTCAGATTCGTCGAACCTATATTAAATAATTACGTTTATTTTAAATTGTGCCTCGACGACTACCAGTTGATTTATGACCACCACTGTATCTTGTGGAGCTGGTTCCTATTTCATATGTCGACCACTTTTTAAGCCAGAATAGGAAGTGAATATCTGTCATTGAGAGATAACAATCCTATATAAATGAATATACTAATAGGTAGGTGTTTTGTAACGATGCGTCCATTTTCTGTCCTGTCTTATTATTATTTTTTTCATACTGACAACAAAGAATGCTCCGAAAAATCATTCGGATTAATTACACTACACTATGACATAGTTCGAAATTACATTTATGTGATCTTTTTCCTCTTATTCACCCATTTCACTCGTTTCACTAGGAGTTTTTCACTACACTCGACCACTTTGTAGAATTAATGTGACTAAAAAAGATTTCTGATTGATAAACTGAGACTGAAAAATAATCTGCTCTTTTCTAAAAGTCTGAAAACGCACCTGCTATTCCTATAGAGTTGCTGATGTTTATGGGTGCCAGTGGTAACTTACGCGCAACTGTACCGCATACTCGTTAATCTTCTCCTCTATGTATTTTTAAATATAAATTTAAAAGATTAAGGACAAATTTACTCCAAGATATGTTAAGATATAATTATTTGATATAACTGTTTTAATAAGATTGTGTTTAAAAAAAAAAACACCTTGCATGTTTTCACAGTATTCTTCAGAACCTATATCAATCAAATCGTTTCCAATTTTACTAGTGATCACTTTTATTTTGCTATTACTGAAAAGTTTAATTGCTTATGCTAAGCTAATGTGAACATATTAACTCAAATGTTAATAAAATGTTGCATATTTAGAAAAATTACAAGAACATGTGAAGATTGCCATTACATCCTGAAATTGAGACCTTTTTCATTATTCAGTACATTCTATTTTGCAGATTGAAGAGCAGAGAGCCTAGACTTGGTCAAACCACAAATTTTATCTCAGCCCTTAAGCACATTAACCCATTTTGAGATGGCAAGTAATTTAGATCTGGAGCTTCTAAAACACCTGACAACCAAAGTACTGCCATATGTTGACTCAGTAGGCATAAATGAACAAGAGCTCTCCAATCTTAACAATATTTTAAAGCACGGAAGAGTAGTATTTGTAGCAGACTCCAACCCAAGGATAGCTACAGCACTTGATCAAATGCGGAACACATTTAGACTTATAAGGCAAAAGAACAAAAAGTTTGATAGTAAAAGAAAACTTACCCGTATGCATGTGCACACTTTAGCAAAACAAGCTATTTTAACTGTACAAAATTCTAAATGGAAAAGAACGCCTGCAGCTGCAGCTAAATCATATTAACAGCGCCAGATATGTTTGCAATACACAGACCATCAATCTTGAGAAGACAAAGTTACTGCGTGATGATAGTTTCTCACCAACCCCAGACAATGATAATAACAGCAGAGTGTTTTTTGAAGCAAATAAACCAGTGGCATGTTGGGAGGAAACAAGAGAAAGCGATAAAGTTGAAATATGTGTCGCACCAGTCTTAATTTGTACGGAAGCTTAGTTAATAGCTGGAGCTTGGGATAATATATAAGCTGCAGGGCTGGTTTTGCAGGTGGAAATATGATTCTTAGTCAGATAATACTTAAAGAATATTAATTTATGTTTATGTTTTAAAACAGGACAAATAACTGTATATTTATTAATGAACAATATTTCTTTTTCATACTCCACTATATTCTTTATTATGTACGAAATACGTAAGCTAGAATAATTGAGGACTTGCCTACAACTAAAACATAGGAAATGTTTCCTTATCTAGGTTTAGAAATAGGTTATTTATTAATAATATTCAATTTATATTAATGGTGGTCTGAATAATGTGATTTACAATTTACTTACTGTAATCCAAAACTAATCTGTAATCAATCAAAACTAATTTGTAATTTTGTAATGGTAGTGGTAGAGCTATACTGCAGCTATATTAGTAGTATAGTTGTAGCACGAATGGATCGGCTCGACCGGGGAAGGACCACGCTCTCACAGAATACCAGCGTAAAATAGCAGCTTAACACTGTTGTGTTTCGTTTGGTGAGTGTAGAGAACGGGGGACTCATTTTAATGGAAACGACGCATTCCATCTTAGGCCTCGCGGGTGACAACGCATCTGCATTTTGATTCGTAATCAAGGATAGATGCAGATGTCTATGGGCCACAGCAACCACTATTTACGAAAATATAATGTATTTTCACAAAACAAAGGTTGTTTAAGTTAAAAAAGTGATATGCACTCTGTAAACACTAGGAACAAACACAAGCTAGTGATACCAGTTTCTCGACTCGACACTGTGGATTTGCTTCATGGTGGAGTCATTCAGTCTCTCTATGTCTTGTACCAAGTTTAAATATTTTATTAAACTGAAACTGTATAAAAGGGTTATTATAATATAAATGAATACATGGTGGATAATAACCATTGAGAATGAGGTTGTGGATATAAAATTTACTTTAAAGTCACGCTGGGTTTCTTAATGATTCTACCCAGGACGGAGGGTTTTTTTTCGAACCAGTGGTAAAGTAAAAATGACTTTCAATAAGAATTACACCTTGTGATCTATGTTGAATAAAAATTATTCTATTCTATTCTTCCACTCTACCCTATAAAAATATATATACAGTGAAGGACATACAAAACAGACATAAATCAAAAACTGCTCAAAAGAGCTGAAAGAGTCTGCTGCTGAGCTGAATGGGCAGCAGCTTCTTCCAAATAACGACTAAAAATAAAAATAAAACTATTGTTGCCAAACCGTTGCCAAGCGTGGAAACTATGGCAAATATCTCTAGTATGAGGTAATCTGTGGCGGAAGCCCATGTTCAGGAGTAGAATTTTGATAGGCTGTAACGGTAACGGTCTAACTTGTTCAATACGTCAAATCTAACGTTGATCAATATTATACTATGTTTTTACCTCGTTAGTTGAAATTCTTTTTGTACTGTATCTACTAGGAATATGAACGTAGTAATAACTATCAGAATAGCTATCAGACCAACCCAGATAAAATAGTACAAAAGTCCCTTTTGCATTTTTTATTTGGCCCAATGTTAAAGAAAATATATAAAATAAATACACACCAGCACGTGTATACGTCAACACAGGCCTCTCCCATTTTAGAGAGAATTCACCAATAACATTAAAATTTCGGTAAATTTTGTATCGTATATTATTCAATACATTATTAAATGGATTTTATACTATGTTTAATTTAATTCAATAAAATTATACAAAACTATATACTATACATATTATATAGACAACAACTAAAACTGTATACTTTACTTGATTTAAGGTATCTATTTGTTGTATTTCATTTACTATTATAACAGAAATATTTGAAAATATACGCGATAACAACCTAACACATTTGTTATCCCTGTAAGACAATTCCGTTGTTCTCGTAAATATATTTTCCGATACACCATTATCTTCGATGATGGCTCAATCGTGGAGAAGTCGTTAGGTTAGTATAGACCCAAAGAATAACACCGAAAATTATTCCATTGGGTCATGAAAAATAGACCCGCGTGAGATTTGTAACCATAGATGTAGCAATAAACATCGACGATTGTCAGTTTTCTTTGCTAAAATTACGACCGTTCATTGGGTTATTTATTATGATATCGTTAAATTATTACAAATTTTTGTTTTTGGTCCGGTCGTATCTTCTCAAGTTTGACACTGCATCATTAGTTTCGAGCAAATAAGTAATCCCTATGTTTGCCCAGTAAGTATTCAGCAAACCAGTAGATTTTTATTGTCATTATGTTATTGTTATTATGTAACCGTTTTAGTAGTTTGTACATATTGGCGCTTGTCCTTGTTTTCCTACCATCCGAGACTATTTAATATTTATTAGGTACCGGACGGTAACGACGAACGGCTTTGTATTTGTAGGCACAATTAAGAACTTTGATTAATAGTAGTAGTTGCACCGAGCACCCCTTATAATTTTATTCTTTATTGTACGGTCCATACTGTTTAAGTCAAAATAAATATTCCGCGTAAAGTGGAAAACAAAAAAAATTCTACATTTTTATTTTTGTTTAAACGTGATAAAATTAAAAAAAAAAACACCGCCATCTACTTGTTCAGAGTTGATATGCGACAAATAATAGTATCCATATTTGTAAATCACGCAATATTATTTATTTTCTTTGTGATCACTGTGGTAATTTAGACAAAATAAATGTGAAACGAAAATAGAGTAATGTTCAATTATAAATACAATTCTAAGAAACTACGAGTTTATTAATTAAATATGAGGAAAACTAGATGAACCTCTAAATCGTTGCATATAAAGTTGGTGCAAAAATATTAATGCGACACGAGGTAAAGTAAACTGACTAATAAGATTAGCATAATTGTACAGCTTAAACTAAACCTCATAGATTTTAATACGAGCACCTATTCATTTAGTGTGGTATTTATATAAGAAATAATCAAACAGCTCTTGGAAACTTTCAAAAATATAGTTCAGATACTGTTTGGGGCAAGATCTATTGCTAGTAATTTAATACATATCTCGTTTATTTTATCTTATTGTTTTCTCGAAAATAACTCTAACGATTTGAATTAAATTTTTTATTAAAATTATTGCTGCCTTTCCAACATTATATAGATAGGTATTCTCCCTGAGAGAATTAAATGTATTTTTACTAACGCCGAGCAAATTTCGGTCACTCAAGTACCAGCTGATAAACATAAGATAACATAAACACTTACGCCTTTACGCAGGTATGTAGGCAGAGACTACGGACTTCCATTTAACACGATCCTATCGCACCACACTCGCCCCCTTCACATCCATATAACTACGTACAAATGCCCCTCTATTCTCACATCTTCTCTTCAGTTATACCTCAAAACTTGAAAACAAGATTATACAACAAATGCATGTTGCCAGTGTGACATATGGATCTGCGACGTGGTCCTTCAATGCTGGCCGTATGTGGAAGCTCAAAGTTACCCAGAAAACTATGGAGAAGTCTATGCTCGGGGTTTCTCTGCGTGATAAACTTAGAAATGTGGATATGCGCAGTAGAACCAGAGTAACCGACATAGCCCAACGGATTAGTAAAAGATTAAGCTGAAGTGGCAATGGGCGGTCCATATAACCGAAAACTAATGAGGAAGAAGGTTTCGTGTATCGCATACTCATACCAGTAGACGAAATTTAGGGTGATCTCCCACTAGATGGAGTGACAACGTGATAAGGTATTCAGAACGACGATGTATGCAAGTGGCTCAGGACCATGCTTTGTAGCATATGTTGTTCAGCAGTGGACTTGAGAAGGACTGTAAAGACTGTAAGGATGATGTTAATGACTTCAGACAGAGCCAAGATCCTCGAAGTTCTATCATAAAATCATAAATTATTTTTCCTACAGACGTCAGAAATGTTTATGAATACTTTGACCATAAAATTTATATATTTTATCTAAGAAAAAAAAGTTCGAAATTTTTAAAATAAAACGGCAATTTCATACTATTAACCCTAAATGCGAATACGTACCCCGAATACGTATGTCGGTATGTTTTTTGAATTACACGACAACACCACCTTTTGCTAAAACAAAAGTTTAATGAATATAAACAGCCTTAAGCTATGATGAAAATAAGTTAAGATTTATTGCGGACAGCACGTTTTCGAATTTGCCTTTTTTACCTTAGATATTGCAAAAACTAATCAAGGAACTGTCGAGAACTTCCATTAACCTTTGTATAATGGCGATCTACACAACACAGCTTAATTGAAGTGTCAATAGTACATTTTTATTTAACAGGGAAATTCTGTAACCGTTAATCATTTTGAGAGAGTGTTTTTGCGTTTGTATTATTTCTATCACCTTTTTTATTTTGTTTTAGAAAGACTTATTCTGTTTCGTTTTTTATTGCACTACACGTAAAGAGTCTTACTTATTAATTTTATTTTTATTTCAAATCTTTGTTGCATTAACCATAAAGATAAGATAAGCTTTATTTCGATGAAAATTAATCTTCTAAGATATTTTCAAGACTTTACCGATTAGTGAAACAGTAAACTACAAATGACGATAGTTTTCGGATCAAGATAATTATGACTGTCGGCACGTTATTGCCATTTTTATCATACTTTTTTTTTAATTGTTACCTCTAAACTAGGATTTTCTCCTGTATATCCAGTATACAATTATTTATAAGCCATACAAACCTTCGATCCCTTGGGCAACAAGCCAACAACAATTATTATACGTGGTAGGGTCATATATGGTAGGGCGCTGTAGTAATATAGTTGTGGCACGAATGGGTCGGC